TTTTACATTTCCTCACAATGTTAGCACTACCAGTCCAATCCAAAAGATGCTTAATCATCAGCCTCTCTCTTTTTTATTTGAAAACAGCTGAATACCGATTGTCGAACTGCAAAGAATCTTTGAAAGATTCACCAATATCGCACTACGTAAGCCGTTCCAAAATATCGCGTCATAAACATTGTATGCAACCACACTATCATATCAATTTCCAACTCATGGGTTGTCGCAAACATCCACCGCAACGGGACTATTGCTCTCTCTCTCTCTCTCTCTCTCTCTCTCTCTCTCTCTCTCTCTCTCTACTGTCGATACTGTAAATCGAATCGATGGTCGTATTGGCATTATATAATATATGAAGGGTTTGTCGGAATAACAATATGCGTCGCATTCATAGCATCTATCCGCGCTACGGACTTGGCAGTAGGCAACGAAGGCGCTTGAGATATCATACGATGCTTTACTTGAACGTTGTCACATTATTATTATTTTTTTAATCCGTCTAAATTTGTTAAGAATATGCTGTTTAATGTAAACAATATAGTATTGCTCCCATACTCGTGATAGAAGGTGTCAGCGCAGTATTTTCCATCTGTGAGTTGGTCGGAGGGTTAAACGAGAAAAAGGGAAATTGGCTCATAATAATGATTCTACCAAACATGAGTTGCTGTGGTTCAGTTGTTTTTTCGGCCAAGATTGTAAAAAAGGAGGAGATTATTGACTCAAGCCTTGATTCAAACCGGACCATCCTGTATATTACCCTATAGGGACGACGAGATTTACCATGGTTGGTCCTGGGTTTAAGTTCGCATTCGGAGCCAGGATTCGTCCAGTAGAAGAGCCAATACCGCTCAACTGGATATTCAGGGCAAATCTTATTGTGCTGTCGAATCATGCCTCATGTTCTAGAATTGACTACGGTTCCTCGGGCTACGATGTCCCTACTAACACAACCCATTAGAGTTGGCAGATAGCAAGTTATTGTAAGCATAGAAGGTATACTATGCAACCACTGTCATTTAATTCCAATCGTTACCCAGTAAAATACATTTAGAAAAATACAGATAGCGAATCTTATATTGAAGTTTCCAGTCCCATAATGGTATCCAAAGAGATACTGGAAACATGAGTTACTTGGCATTTGCATGTGCACCAAATCGTTAGCTTTTGTACGAAAACTGGCAGAAAACCGACTCGCTCGGCAGCACGGATCCTCCCTGTGGTATAAGATCCGTGTGCATAGGATAGCATTTCCAACGGGACATCCAGGAGAACTACGTCAACACACCGACTGTTGACTCAACACCGATAATCAATAGATACGACAGCGTGACATACGTAGATAAAAGGGCTGTTGATGTGTAGATATCATCCGTTCATGGTTCATGACCTCAAGTCGTGGCCCACAACCGATGTAATCCATTGAGCTTCTTGACTGTAGATATTCCATTGCGGACCATTCCGAAAACTTCCACGCCCTCAACTAACGCCAAACACGTTTCTTAAAATGAAGGTCCTGTTCGTCATTGCTGCCCTCGCCACTCTGCTGATGCCCGTGTAAGTACCTGTCGACACCTGCGTACACATGCCGTCTTTTACTGACTTTTGTCTTCAG